ATTTATGCCTAGCTACAAGAAATATAATTAACACCACATATAAAAAGGTCTATAAGACATACAATTAATACACAATACGATGTGTTATGTGTTAAAACTTTTAAATCCTTGTCAAAGATATGCAAAGATGGAATAAGCTGTGATTGGTGTATAGAGTACTCTTATGTGGCAAGTGTTCAATCCTAGCTACTTGTCAGGAGATTTTGTAATTTTTTTTCCAAATAATGTAATCCAAACAACTCTAGGGGATGACTGCAAAGGAGATTTAAATAATAGATGAGAATTTGATTAGGGGAACTTTAAGGTAACTTCTCTGACTAAAATTACAAATTTCCCAAAGAAAAATGGAAAAAAAAGAGTGAATATTACATAAATTGAAAATGACAATGTCAGTGACATTTAAGGATCTGTTAATTTCATTGAAATCTCTATACCTACTAGGAGACCGGGTTCTGGAACAGGAGAAGGCCTTGCAAACCGTTTACTTAATTTCCTCTTCTCTTTCCTTAGATTTTGCAAATACTGAATACGTTTATCTGCAGTCTATAGGAAAATTAAAAGGAAAGAAAACAAATCATACTTCTTATAACATGTAAACATTAACATGCTGATTATATTTTTGGATTGCTACGATAAAAAAAGATAAACAGTGTATATGCTTTACACAGCTACATAGAAGTAGGAAAAAACACGTTTCTTTCAAATGTGTAGTTCATAAGTGAAGAAAAACACATTGGAGTATCAGGATTTTCAAATGAGACTATTCACTCTTGATCCCCACTTCACCGCTGTGCACATTTAGATAGATCCAGACTCATGGATACATGTGTTACCTTTTATTTTAAAGGTAATGTTCATTGAAAATGCATAAGGGATTTTCTTTATAGAAATAAGAAAAGTGTACTCTTTAGTCCTCTTAAATGTTACACGTCACACAGCTTTTTATGTCACCATTTATGACATCTACAAGCAGCAGAAACTTAGAGGATCAAACTAGAATGCTTTGAAGATAATAAAATACAGTATTAGAGAGGATATGAGGAACGAACTTTTTTATCCACTGCCAATGTGAGTGTAAATTGGTACAATGGCTTTGAAAACAATGTGGTATTATTTTAGAACAATGAAAAGTTTGTTTGCTCCTATGATCCAGCCATTCCACTCCTGCGTAAATAATCAAGTGAAACTCTTGTGCATGGGGAAAGAAGACGTGTACTAGAATGTTCACAGTAGCACTGTTCATTATAGGAAAATGTGGAAACAACCAAAATGTCCATAAATAAATGAACTATGATATGTTCCACAAGGAAATATTAAACAGCAGAGAAAACAAAGGAACTATAAGTATATACAGCATTATAGACAAATCTTAGGAAACAATGTTGAGAAAAAAGAGTAAATCATACACTGAATTTTGTGTGATCCTATGTTTATACACCTCAAAACCAAGTAAAAACAAATGATACACTTGCAGAGGCATGTATGTGACAATCTTTTAAAGAAAAAGAAGAGATTAATGAAAATAAAATTCAAAATAGTGGTTACCTCTGGGAGCAATACAGGAAGGTACCATAGAAAAGCAGTCCCTGGCTGGATTCAAGGATACTCATAAATGCTTTTATTAAGTTGGAAGTATATTTTATTATTCTGCTTTATAAATGTAAATGATGTATATTTTTGTATATGTATTAAATGTTACATTAAAAAATGAGGATATAAGCCATTTAGCTTACCCTAGCTAAGACCCATTCCAATAGTAGTCAGAAGATCCCAGAGCCCCAAGAAAGACACCGCAGAAATGTCTAGCTACTAAAATTTCTATCATGTTAGAGACCACCACAAATAAAGGAACAAGTTAAAAGCACAATGTTGAAACAACCAGAATTTAGTTCTTTATTTAAACATTACCTGCTTCTCCGTGACCTCTGAAGGATGATGCTGTTTAGGTCCTTCCTATGTAATATGTAGAAATAAACACATACAAATGTAAAATTAAAACACACATAAAAGTAATGAGAAAACAGATAAATTACTTATTATAATAGGAAGCCTATGCTGCTGGTTTTTAATTATGTAGTATATGAATATTATCCCAACTGCAAGAGGCAGGATCAGAATGAGAACATCAAAGGTAAAAACTGGTATGGACGAGATAGAATTAGGAGAAAAAAGAGCCACCTATGATACATTAAAGGGAACAGGTAGAGTACTGGGATTTATTCTAGAGGGAAACTGTGCACAAACAGGAAATGCAAAAGTTCGCGTTTTCGCTGCTACTGACTTCAGTGGCGTCCCTGTGTTCTTCGCTGAGGAATCGAGCCTTTAATCTGGCTTCCAAAGCCTGGGAAAGCTAGGGTTGAGGTGGGTTGGTTTTCCTGAGGCCCGGGAAGCTTGGCTATTAGTTTATGAGGTTCCCACCCCTTCCCCTAATTTCAAAATCATACCTTAAATACCTCTCCCTTCTGGAATTTTGGTCCAATTTTTTAACCCGAAGACCCAGAAACAATCTTCTCCACATCTGAACATTAAGAACCTCATCTGGACCCCCCACTTCCGTAATTCCCACCCCACCTCCTAGGGCGGGTCGATGAGTCGATGAACACACAGTGGATTGAACGTGCCCGACCCCTCGCCAGAGCTGGCTGGGACGTCTCTTCACCCCGGGTCACACCGGCAGCCCGGGATCTAGTCTGTCCACTTCACCCGGAGCTTCCCACCCCCAGCCCCAGACCACAGGTGCAGCCGCTGCGAGTCCAGATGGCCGAGGCCGCCCCGGCCGGGAGCGCACAACTGGGACGGGTGGCTGAGGCGGGGTTAAGGGCCTCGGAGGACTCACGGGGTGCACTTGGACAGCTTCGTCTCCGCAACAGTACAGGCACATGCTGCAGAGCCTCGGGGCACCCCCGGCGCCTC